CAAAGGTGATTGGTGCATTCAAACTATTCAACAGGAAGTTTACAATTATACTAGGAAGTGTATGAATATCTCGAGGAACTTGATGAAATGAATTTGTCCGCCCGAGGTAATGTATTGAATCAATATTTGAGCAACACTTCAATTGGAACGACAGTAAGTACATTTAACTATTCTCCAATTATTCTTTAACTATTCATACACTGTTACTGACAGTATTATTCAAAAGCCTTGCACAGTTGTTTTGATGCAGAGGACCCAAGGACATGGAGATCTGTATGTTTAAATTGCAACTCTTGTCGAAGTTTGAACAATGTTATCAACTATTGTGTAATTTTACCTGGCGAAGTTGAATAAATAAATAAATAAATATCATCATTAACAACATTATTATAATAATCACCACTCTAATCAGAACAATGCTCAAAGTTCCTTCGGTACTAACCTTTCCAGTACCTGCTCTTTCTTGGGCTAAAATTCTTGCGCCAAGCTGTTCAAGCGTTACCGGTGGCGGTAAATTACCTGTCGAAATAAAATGATCAATGGACATGACAATGGGAACTGTTTGATCACTCGCAAAAAGATAAAAGGATTAAAACTTTATTCTCCGCAGGAAAAAAAACTCACCCGTCTCAGTTTCTTTGAATTCCACGGTTTCAACGACGACGAAATCATGCCAGTCAATTTGAGCGAACGAAACTACACAATACAATTTGTTATTTCTAAGTTATAGTGTGAGCGCCGAGATTCAGTCATTTAGGTTGACTAGCATCAACATCCAAGCTGTCTTATATCTACAGTACACTATACCACAGCAGACGTTAAACCCTCAAATTTAAATTAAACATAATTCTACTCATCATATCACGTCATCATCCCATAGTTGTTTTAGCTACAACTAATAAAACAAATCCTGAACACGCCAATAATAAAAAAATACAAACAACGCATCCTCCAACAAGTTTTGTCGAACTGTATTGAAAACTCTCACTAGAATTATTTAAGAGCTTTAACAAACCTCGTTCTTTTTCTTTTTCGTCCTCGACTTTTTGCTTCTCCTGCTCTTGATGTCTCGCCCATCGTACACGATAGTTCACATTGTCCAGAATCTAAAGCCCCAGGCAAACGACAATGAGAGTTGAGAAGCTAGAGTTTGCATGAGAGTTTTCTCAACTCTCGTGCCCCGGTTAAACGAGAACAAGAGTTACTTACATGAGAGTTGAGAAGCGAGGGTTTGCATAAGAGTTTTCTCAATTTGATGAGAGTTGAGAAACGAGAGTTCGCATGTCAATTTTCTCAACTCTCGTGCCCCGGTCAAACGAGAACAAGAGTTACATGAGAGTTGAGAAGCGAGAGTTTGCATGAGAGTTTTCTCAACTCTCATGCCCTGGTCAAACGAGAACAAGAGTTGCATGAGAGTTGATGAGAGTTGAGAAGCGAGAGTTCGCATGTCAATTTTCTCAACTCTCATGCCCCGGTCAAACGAGAACAAGAGTTGACGAGAGTTGAGAAACGAGAGTTCGCATGTCAATTTTCTCAACTCTCGTGCCCCAGTCAAACGAGAACAAGAGTTACATGAGAGTTGAGAAGTGAGAGTTTGCATGAGAGTTTTCTCAACTCTCATGCCCCGGTCAAACCAGAACCAATGAGCGAGAAACTCAATAAACTCAATTATTTATACATTTCATGATATTCAGGAGTTTTTTCAGGGATTTTTTAGGGCCCCCAAAACTCGATCTTGAATTGAGTTTTGAAACTCGATCTTCTCACCATAAGTTTCAGTACAGTAAAATGACGTTGTTTGAGTTAAAATTCGTGACGTGTGGAAATTAGTTTTCAGTTGGAAACCCGAAAATTAAAGTAAAAAATGGCTGGAATTCATTTCACAACACACGAAAAACAACGCATTCGCCGTCTTTAACCAGATTATGGTGTCCCATAGTGCCCCTGCTTTAACACATTGTATCTCAACTACACTAAAGTGGGTACAGGTTTCAGCCTTCCGGTAGGGGTGGGGGGGGGGGG